GCCTCAGGAGGGTCGCCGGCTGCCGCTGCTGCATCTGCTGAGGGACCTCGACGGGGTGGCTCAATCCTCTCAGGCGGAGCTGGGGGCTCGCCTCTCAGCCGCGGCGGATCGGGAGGTCTTCAGGGGGCAGCCCGGTCAGGTAATCTGGATAACAAATGGCGCAAGAAGGGGAGGAGCCCGGACCCTCCAGCTCCAGCTGCAGCTACACAGGGCAGCAGCAAGGAGCAGCAACAAGATGCCACGAGCAGCAGCAGCAGCAACAGCAACGGGACAACTCATGTGGTGCCGTTGGTAGACCCTAAGGAGCTGTTGAAGGAACAATTGAAGCCGCAGGGGTGAGAAGAAACGCTTTGGGGGTTACCCGGAGGACCGTAGCAGCAACTGCAGAGGCTTCAGGCAGCACTGCTTCCTAGGATCGAGAGCGTAGAGTCTCGGGTTTTGTTAACAGGTTGTTCGGTGAATCATAAAGTTCACGTTACGGGCTTTGTCAGTGGAGAGTTAGGCTCTCTTCGGGTGTAACTGTTCGTGTTCTGGGCTTGTGGCCGTCTAAGGGTACTGGGGCTGAGGCTTAAAATGTGAAGTTGACGGTTTGGGGTTTGTGGCTGAAGGTTGAAGCTGAACCCCGCTATCTTTGGCGAGGCGAAGCCTCGCGACGAGACGGCAGTGCTCCAAAGACTGAGGGAGGCCCGTGAGGGGCCTTCCAAACAAGTGCCAGCGACGTGTAGCTCCCCAGACACGTCGGGATTGCACATGCAGAGTATGCCTGTGCCTCCACCTCCTCCGCCTCCACCGCCGGCACCTCAGCAGCAGCAGCAGCAGCAGCAACAGCAGACGCGGTGGCGCAGCAATATGCAGCAGCAGCAACAGCGACAATGCTCTCCTGAGAGGCTAAGGCGTCGGCAGGACCCGCTCTGTGGGGCAAAGCCGCGAGATGAGCCTCCACTCATCTCAGCGCAAGAGGTACAGACAGAAACAGTGAACCGAGCGAGGTCATGGGTTGGCATCATGCGACAGCAGCAGCAGTGGCCATTGTAGCAGGAAGCGCCGTCGCATATCCCTTTGAAACTGCGGTTACTTCATTATCTGCCGCTTCTGTCGCTGTTGTTTTCTGCTGTTGCTGCCACTTTGCGTACGGTCGATCTACCTCTATCCTGTGTCTGGTTCTTTCGTCCCTGCAGCAACACCAACAACAGCAGCGGCTGCCCTTTGCCCCCAAGCATCATGCTAGCACGTCTGGAGGGGAAACTGTGCCTCTGAAAGCAACAGCGGCAGCAGCGGGAACTCCGCCGTCACAGACACTGTCAACTGAAGCCGCGTCAGCGACCTCTCCTATACCAGCCGAACGAAAAGCTGGGGCGGGTCCGTGGGGTCACCGCCTTGCCCCGTCACCTTCGCAGCAGGAGGAAGTTTCTCCTGTGCGTCGTGGGTGGCGCGGAGGCCAAGAGAGTGCCAGTAGTAGCAGCAGCAACAGCAGCAGCAGTAGCAGCAGCATTACTCATGCAGATGCAGGTGATGCAAAGAGCAGCAGCCACAGCAGGGGGTCTTTGGGAGGGTCCCATCAACAGCGAAACAAAGGTTCTTTGACGGTTAGGGAAGTTTGCGCTGTCTCGGGACCCTCCGAGGTAGCCGGAGAGCTCGGAGAACAGCAACAGCAGCAGCAAGCACAGCAGAGGAGCATCATTTGTGTTGCACCGACAGCGCCACCGAGAACAGGCCCGCTTGCCTCGCAGTTGTTTTTAGACAAGGCACCGAAGCAGCAGGAACAGGAAGAACGGCAGCAGCAGCAGGGAAAGAAGCCGAAAGGACGGCAGGTGAGAATGGAGCAAAGGAGGCAGGGCTACTGTTGCGCTGCATGTGCCTCCTTTCCACGTGATCGAAGTGCTAGTGTTTGTTGGGTATTGGAGTCCGTACAAAAGCAGCAAGCACATCTGTTGCCGTTATTTCAGGCTTGGCAGACCAAGGTTGAGGGCCTTGCGGATCTGTCTAGCACTCAGCAGCCGCAGCAGCCCACCGATGAGGATAACTCTCAGCAGACGGCCCCAGATGGGCCACCCAACGCACCCCGGCAGGTCCAACAGAACCACCAGCAACAGGAGCAGCAACCGCAACAGCAACAGCAGGGAACGGGTCACCGAGGCAGCGGAGGCAGAGGCGACTGGAGGGGAGGTAGAGGGGATAGGAGGAGTGCAGTCCCCGCCGGGGGCGCATCTGCTGCCGCTGGTGGTGGTGCGCCGCGCTGGAGCTCAGGGGCTTCTGGGGGCCCTGTTTTCCAGAGGGGACAGCAGAAGGATGATACTCGACCGTCCGTTGCCGCTGCAACTGCAACAGCAGCTGCAGCAGGGACGAGCAGCAACAGTGCCAGCCTAAACACCCGTAGTGTGAGCAGAGCAAATACAGCAAGTTGCAGCAGCAGCCCGTGTCAGCAACAACAGTGGTAACCTAAACATGCGTAGTGTGAACAGAGCAAGAACACGAAGGTGCAGGAGCAGCCCGTGTCACTGCGGCTGCAGTTGGGCCAGTGGGTGTTTGTACCCTCAGGAGTCATGCACTCCAGGCTTTCAGTGTCGCTGCTGCTATTCAGGCTGAAACGAGCGGCTGCGCGGATGGCCTGATTTCATCCCCCACAGTTACTGGTGCATCTCACTTGTTGCGCTCCTGGGTCCTGCTTTTGCTGTTGCCATTCCTATTGTTGCGACAAGTGCTGCTGCCGGTGCCGTTTTGTCAGTGGCGCATTCAAGCCTACTTCGTGATTGCATTTCATCATGTTGCGGTGCGTGCTGATGCTGGTGCTGCTGTGGGTTGCAGCGGGAGTAGCCCCTTTGCGTGACAGAGCTCCTCGCCGACAGCGAGGGCCTGGGCGTAGCAAAAAGGAAGACGAGCAGGAGCGCTCGGGCCACAGAAAGTGGAGATCTCAGGGTGAGTCTGTGGGGGTGGGGTGTTCCCTTCTCAGAAGGCGAGCTGCAACTGCTACCGCAGTTGCTAATTTCCGTTTGAAGTCACTGACATCTTTGATAGGGCATACATCCTCTTGGTGAGGATGCAGCTAGAGGTGACTGCTGCTGCTGATTGTGCTGCAGGCGGATCGCCAGGAGAAGCAGACCAGCAAGGGCGAGGTGACGGCAAAAGCAGTCCGTTTGCTTGCTTACTTTGGTGCTGTTTGCAGCATCTGTCAATTCTTTCTAGCAATTGCAAGATATGCAGTGGAAGTCGTGGCCTCTGCTGGCTTGACGGTGCTTTTGTGGTGTTCAGCAGGAACGGGACGCGGAGCAGGTCAAGGCGGAGGGGGAGGCAGACGGTCTGTGGCAGGCGGGACGCGGGAAGAACAGCAAGGAGCTCCCAGCTTGCCAGCGGGTGGAGATCCGTCAGGCGCAGCAGCTGCGGTTTCAAGAGAACCTGCAGCCTCACAGCAGCAGCAGCGGCATCAGCAAGCGGGGAAACAACAGCAGAGTGCTTATAGAGATGGGTGAGGCCCTTTCCTCGTGGTTTTGGCTTGGCGTTGCTACATATTGCTACATGGTGTTAAAACGCTGGGCGTTTTGGCTTGGGATGTCTGAAATCGCCATGCATGCTTCGTCTTATGTTCGTACCGGGGTGTTTTCGTGTATTGTTGGTTCCGTTTACGTCTTTTGCCGGCGACCAGCTCAACTTTTGTCTGTACGCACGGTCGCAGTTGCGTCGGCCGTGTCGCTTTCTGCTTATGTGGGGATTTTCTATTAATTGGCGTATGTCTTTCACTTCTTGAATTATCATGTGTTGTTGGGAGGCTGTTTACGTAACGATGTCTTTGGTTGGCCCTGCGAGTTCTGCATATATATTACTTCTGTCTCTCGTTCTGCAGACCAGCGCGGCCCGCAGCTCCACCTGCTGTACATACAGGTAATCGCTTTTCTGCCTTTGAGGACGTCTCAGGGGACTCTGACTGACAAGGAAACACTTGAAGAGACAATTGGGTTGGTGACAGGGGCCGCTGCCATTGAACAGGGGCCCCATGCAGGGCTTTTGTCTCAGATTTCCCTTCTCTGGAGACATACGGCAGCAGCGGCCTGCTATCTGTGCCTAGGAAAACAAATGTGCCTTTTTACACAGCGATTCGAACCAACAGCAGCATGAGCAGCTGCTGCCCCAATGAGGAGGGAGAGGCAGACAGGAGGAGACAGACGGGGGATCCAGTGTCTCTAGACCCCTCGTGCTGCGTGCCGAAGGCCCCTCTGTGTGGGGCTAGCCCCACATATCAAAACCTTTATAAGTAGCAGCAGCAAGAGCCGCTGCCGCAGCAACTGCAGCAGTAAACCTAGTGGGAGTGAGAAGCTCCCATTTGTGGTCAAGCGTGTTCATGGGGCTCGCACATGAGCCAGTCGTGCCGCCAGAGTCACACACTGGGGAATGTTTCTTTTGGCGCAGGGCCCGCAACGCAAAACTTTAATTTTATTGAAGTTACAGTTCGCTCCTTTATTCTTCTAGTGTCTGTTCACCAGGTGCCGGACCACACGTTGCACCCGAGATTGCTTTTAAGCCACGAGTTCTGTACGCCCTTTGGCTGCGGCCTTTGCTAGATTCCGCGACTTCCGTTTTGGCTCTGGCACGGCTCCCACACCCCAGCTTAGCTTCTGGGGGACGCCGTTGGTGGATAAGGCGTTCAAATTAGCTCTGGAATGGAGGGGGAGGGAGACCCGCTGTTCCTTGCGCGTCTCTTGCTGGTTCCCCTTAGGCTTTCAGGTTAGCTCTTGTTGCCTGTAGGCATTCTTTGTTTCTTGACTGATCATTAGAACTCCAGAGGGTCTTTGCCGTCTTAGAGGCTTTGTGGTTGCACTGCGAACATTCGGAACAAATGAAAGGCCGGACTAGGCCATACGGGGGAGACCACGGGGAGCATCTGCTGTATTGAAGCGCGCAAACTCGCACTCAAGGATCCCCCATTGACTTACAATTGTCCTGCATAGTGTCGAGGACCTTCTGGGGCCTTGAAGGTATGTTTAATGTAGAATGTAGGAAACATCCGCCTAGTTCCTGCGTCTATTTGCTCTTTTGTATTCTGCAGGGCTTTGCCTCAAGGAAGGAGGGAGGCCCCAGATGCCTTCACTGCTGCTAATTGCCGCCTGCTGCTGAAGCTGCAGCAGCTGCAGCCTCCCCGCGTACGCGGCACCCCTTCCAGTATACAGGGAGCTCAAGCCTCGTCTGAGCATGGCATCACTGGCGTCGTGCAGCAGAGGAGGCTGAGCCTCCTCTAAGGTCTTGAGCGACACACGCTGCCCTGACTCCTTTCCGCCCAGTGATGACCCCTTCCAGAGGGCTGTCAAAGGCACCTCAGGGGACCCCACGATTTGCTGCAGCGCCTCAGAGGCTGCAGAAAGGGCCATCGGAGGGTCCTGTTGAGCCTTGAGGCCATCCAACCCCACCTCATGTCGCTCCCACTTTTTGGGGTGGCCCTCTGCAGGCAGCGCATTGGAGGACATACGCCCTGATTTGAAACTGTTTCCTTTGTGCTCGCCTGAGGGGGCGCCTTCTGCTTCGTTGTGCGTTGCAACTAGTAGCGAAAGTTGTTGGATGTAGTCGCTGAATGCCTGGAACCCGTCCGTCGTCTCCGAAGTGACGCTGGGCACTAAGACCCTAGCCAAGAGTCGCCCGTACCTGTCGTTCCGCAGAGGCTGCAGCAGCACAACACGTCCCAGTACCATAGCGGCTAAGGCTGCAGAGGCTGCTACCCCTAAGGGCTGCCCGCCAACGTCTAGATGAGCAGAACCATATGAGACGGTTGTCTTCGCGTCTGCTGCCGCTGCTGGCTTTGGCTTGCCCTTCCAGGTCTCAGGCGCGTCTATTGCGTAGAGGCGAATCCTAAGAGTGCAGGCAGAGAGCGGAGAGCAACGCGAAGGCCAAGGAGACAGCACTAGCTGCGGAGGCTTCTGCCGCTGTACGTACTTCGACGTAGAGGTTCCCAATGCATTCGACAGCGGCTCAAGATTCTGCTCCTGCTGCGACTCCAAATGCACGTACACGTCAAAATCCGACGTCACGGGAACGCAGCGCAGTGTGTCCCCGTCCACCACTATGACTACGAGACAAGCAAAGGGAACCCGCGGATGTTCCCCAAGTACCCACACCATGGGCTTAGGTGAAAGAAGGCTGCTAATAATAATGGCGGGAAATTTACTATGAGAGGGATCCTTCAGAATGTCTTGCAAATTGCTGCTGTCCCCAGAGATCAACTTGTCTTCGTGGCTCTTGCCGACATGGGCAGCGCCGGAACCGATTGATCGGGCGCCGCCACTGGCCTGTGGTATTTTCTGGCTAGTAGAGCGGAAAAAGCTGCTAAGGTAATAACCAGCAACACTGAGAATGCAAAGCATCAACAGCAGGCGCCATACAATAACGGGCATTCTACGCCCCACGTGCTGGCGAAGAATGGGGGAGCCGGCGGTCGCCATGTGAGTGTTCGCCGTTGCCTGTTGGGGAAATTTTGAGTGTAACAATATTAAGATGAACAAGATTCAAATTAATCTGTAGATTAGGAGTGAAGTTAATGCATCTGGCGGCTTAGACAAACGGAGCCTTCCACGCAGCCGCCAACATGCAGTCGTGCAGTCGGCACTGTCTGGCACCTCTCTGGCTCTCCTAAATTTATTGGAGTGTCAGTAGTCAGGACCCTAAAGAAAATTTTAGGACCCATGCACACGGATCTTACGGCGGGCCCAGTCAGCAGCAACGTAGGAGGACCTGAAGTTCATGCGGGTGGCGGTCGAGAGCCAGCCTGCAGAGCCCGGTAGAGTTGTTTCATTTGTTCGAAGCTTCCGAGACCAAGAACAAATTTCTGCCTGTTTTTTCGAATTCTCCCACTTCGAGCGAGAGAATGTGTACACAAGAGCTCGTCTCTAATCGTCTTGGAAAACGATATGGGAACGACGACGGACGTGAGACAGGAAGCCCCGCCTCTTCTGAAGCCGTTGCTCGATCCTCTATGTTGCATTCTTTTGCTCAGTAGCCACGGAGACTTATGTCGAAATACGCCAGTATATGCCTTAAATGAACAATTTCATACTATATCACGGACAAAAGAGGCAGTGGGGCAATCTCTACACTGAAGCTGTCCGTGCGCATTTGCAAAAGAAACCCGCTATGCAACTTTGTTTAGATCGAAAACTTTGGGATTTGATTGCATTTTTTTAGCTTTCCGGTTTCAGACGCCATTGTCTGCATAGTAATGCGGGTGTTTTCGTATTTTCGCGTGCTCAATGCAAGTCTGGCTAAACCCCAATGCACGGAGTTACCCTACTATGCCGCACTGCCCAAAGATAATAATGAAGAGGCACATATGATACAATCTTAAATTAGCAGGCACTGGTATTTGTATGAGCCTGCGACTTCCGCAGTGGTTTTCTAAAAAAGCCAACAGCTTTGGGGAGATGGTACAGTAAACTATGTCCTCCTCCTGTCTAGATGCGTTTCATATCCATTTGTGAAGCTCACCCAAAAACGGAGAACAGGAAAATGATGAGTGCCTCTTTGCCGCCTTGTGAAAGCGAACAGCTGCCATGAGCTGCCACAGGCTACAACACAATGGCCTTGGCACTTCTTTACACCTCAAGGAAAGCATATCCCCTATACTTAGACATACTTCTTCAGATATGCGGTAGACGCAACGATAAGTAGGTCCATTTCATTGCTACCTAACCTATTTTCGAGTAGGTAGATTTCGCCGTCGCGAATGTAATTTGCTGTAAGTAGCTTTCTCCAATGACAGCCACTAAGACTGCTCGTATGGCGGTGTTCTGGGTCGCTGGTGATTGCATGGTACTCATCTGTGCTATAAATGCCTTAAACTGGTAAGAGGCGTGCCTATGTTTAACGGTGTGTAGTGGCAACGGCAGCGCGTAGTCGAGCGGCGCTAAAATGGCTTTTTGTGTATCGTGCGTTCTAGAGGAAGAAGTGCGCTGCGAATTGAAGAGGAACTGAATACACAACCGAAATCAGGAAAGAAGTCTTTTGGCAGGCGTCGGCGGCATTGCTCAAAGAGCCTGCTCAGGAGGCGTCTCCACAAATGGCAGCAATCAGGGTGCAGCCAAAAGTAATGGTAGAATCGTTTAAAATTCTTATGTGGTGTTCTTGGTGTCAATTACAGCAATAGCAACAGCTTTCTTTAAGAAGAAAGTGCAAAACCGTGTGAAATATATACGAATAAGGACCACAGTTACCCTCCCCTAACGAGTGCTTAAAATCTTTCCATATGCTGGTGAATGCAGTTTGGAGAAGACAGACACAACATTCAAGTTCTTGTGCTAGTAAAACAAAAAGACTGAACTGCAAACAGAGAGTGAGAAAAGCGAAAAGCAAACGTTGCGTTACGTGCCAAAGTGGATGGTGGACTCGCAAGCCAAAGTCACACGGGAAACGGAGAATATAAATAAGCAACGGTACAAAGGAGACATAAACGGGAGGCTGGTCCTGAAATAAGGCAAATGTCAAACCTGGCACACAAAAACCAGCTAAACTACCACTTGCCCACAAACGCGCGGCGACTCGCGCCAGCAGCCTCTCAACAAGTAGCACACGAAGCAGACAAGCAGCAGCGCAGCTGCGCCAGGCGATTTCTGGCGCAACTGTGCCACGAAGCAACAAAGATACTTTCACCGCAAGCAGCAAAGACGAAACCGCCGCAATCCAGCAGCTACTGCAGCAGCCCTTCTGTGTCGAGTTCAGAATAACCCCACTATCTGCAGCTATTTACGTTCCTTTTCCTCTGCTACCTTCTTTCATAGGCTTTTGAATGCATAATCCAACGCTGAACTGACAATTCCTAATTTTTATGTGCTTACAGTAATTATGTATACGTGTAACCCGTAGCCTGCTCTACGGGCCTATGGCGCAATGGTAGCGCGTCTGACTCCAGATCAGAAGGCTGGGCGTTCGAGTCGCTCTGGGCTCAAGTTTTTTCTTGCTATCTTTCCTGGCGTGCCTCGAAACCGCGGGGTGGCCACAGCGCCCCATAATATGGAACCTACTGAGAACAGACTTATCGCGTGACGAGCGGTGCGTACTAGTGACGCTTGAACAGATACACAGAGTGCCTTAGGGCAGGGGTGGTGAGGCGACTAAAAGGTTTGGTTGCAGCTGCAAATACGCCAGCGCTAACGGTTGCGCTCTCTTTCCCCCGTTCTGATGCCGCTGGACAAGGACGTCGTCTTTGTCCTTTCCGCTCTCAACAGCCTGCACTGCAAAACTGCGCTCTTCCCTGCTACCTGCGTAGCTGTATTCCCCGTGCAGACACATATGAATAATATTCTGCGTTCTCCTGAAACTTCTCCATCTCCTGACCCCTGCAACTACCTGTTAGCCGTCCCCCCTCGTGTGTTTGTGTTTCTATCCATTTCTATTGTAGGTGTCATTTTTCGTACCAATGAGCACGTGCGAAGGCGCTGATGGTCGCTCGCTGCCATCAGTAAAATGTCGTAGTGAGAATATGTGTATCGCAGCAACAGCAGCAGCAGTAGAAACGGAAGTACCCAAAAAGACAGCCTGAAGAGGTTGACTTGCTGCATTGTGTGAACTGAAGCTGCAGCCCTCGGGAGAACTCATAAAACCTTAACAAATCAGGAGCCTCCAGGCACCTTGGGATTTGAAAGTTGACGCTACAAGACTGCACGGAAACCTCATCCAACGGTGGCGGCTCTTACTAGCCAACTAGAGGGCAAAGATATGTTCTAGTGCCAACGAGGAACCACAGGATTCCCAGTGGCCCCCTAAGGGACCTAAAGGATCCCTAGGGGCCCCTCTGGCTGCCGCCATTGGGGTCTCGCAGGAGCCCTTTTAAAGGCCACGTGGCCAAACTCCATATTTGTCTCAAGAACTCTTCGTAGAAAGCCCCCTTGAAATGATAACTGCGAGAAGGGCCTCTTGCTGCTGCTGTGTAGGAGGGGGGACGACCAGCGTCGGGTATTGGGCCCCCGGGGGCCCCCCCAAAGGCGCCTCTGCCAAGCGCCTTTCTGCCCATTCAGTCCAAGAGCCGTCGTAGACAGAAAGCAGCGACACCGGGTAGCCCACCTGCAGCAAAATGTTAATCGGACGTCCCAGCAGCAGTCGCAGCAGCACAGGAAGCAGACGCTGCGAGGCACGAGCCAACAAGGCGATGCGTTTCCCCAGGCCCTTTCTCTTGTACGCTCGCTAAGCAGCAGCAGCAGCAGCAGCAGCAAGAGCCGTAGCAGCAACACCAGCCCAGCAGCAACACTCGCACGCAGCCGCGTACCTCAAGAAGCGCGCAGAAAAGGATGCACGACGATACGCCGCTTCCGCAAGTGCATACAATTCGTTTTGCCTCCGAAAAGTCCAAATGCGGGTACTCTGGACGCTTGTGTTGCGGCACCTCCTGTTCGTCTTGCTGTTCTTGCTGCAGTTGGTGTTGCAGCTGCCGCTCCTGCTGGAAGGCCTCCAGCTGCTTGCTAACACCTTTGACGTTCGCGCTTGTAAGAAGCGGCCCCAAAGGAAAAAGCAATGATGTTCCCGTCTTCAGGGTGGCGTACCCAAAGGGAGGGGCCCTCACGGAAGTCCCAAAAGGACACAGGTAAGTCGTGGGGCCACTGCTGATGCAGCTGCTACTGGGGAAGAACGCGTGGGGCTGCAAAAGCGTTGTAAATGGGAGGTTGATGGAGGTGGGAATGTGCCCTCCAAAGACTCCCTCGCGGGGTTCCCCGCATCTCGCCGAAAACCTATCGTGGGTGCGCACATCCACCAACAAGAACGAATCCTTGCTGCTGCTGCTGCTACTTTCGCTCTTATTCTTTCCACTGGTAGAATCCTCCTTCGTAGTGCCTGCCGCCTCGTCCAGAAGCTTCAAGAGGTCCACGTACGACACAACCAGCGAGTCTTGATCTTCTCCATTGCCCGCCCCTTCCCACTGACTTGCAGCAGCAGCAGCGGCAGCAGCAGTGTCTTTTCCGGAGGCGGAATCAGCGACGGTCTCAGGAAGTGGAAGGAGACACTCCCTGCTAAAAGGCCGCGTGTCTACGGGAAGTGAGCGGGCGACCCACGCCTTTATGCCGCCGTCCAGGACGCGCGACGTCAGGCCCCCCCAGAGAAGCATCCAGTACACCCGTGACGCTGAGAAAAAGCCTACGGAGTCGTATAAGACGATCTTCGGAAGTTGCTGCTGCTGAACGGGTACCTGGCGTTCCTCCTCCTGCTGCTCCCGTTTCTCTTGTTGATCGTGGAGCTGCTGCAGCTGCTGCACCGTTTGTCGCTGTTGTTTCTGCTGCTGATGCAAGGCTATCACATAGGCTCGCAGCTGCGCCCTCGACGGCAGCATGTGAGGGTATGGGTTACTCCTGTCGCTGCAGGTATCAATGCAGAAAAACTGCGCGCCCGGAATGCGGGGACCCCTCAAGTACTCTTCCTCGGCGCAACGATTCCCGAACACGGGCAATTCGGTCATGCTGCAGTCGAGAATGAGCAACTGTTCTTGCCGAGATAATTCCGAAAGAAGCTCCTCCACGGATATCAGGGGGTCTACCTGCGGCCCCCAGCTGTTGCTTGCAGTTGACATCTCTCGGTAGGGGGGGGATCCCCGAGAAGCCTTGAATGACTCACAAGGAGAGCGAAACGCACCCAGTAACAGAGAGTTTCCTGCTGCTGCTGCAGCTGCTGCTGACATCGCAGTTTGGCTGATCTCCTCGCACAAGGTTCGAAACCCGCAGGACGGGCGACAGCAGCCGCAAGAAAGAGGACGGTGTAAAAATTTCCAGCCCACCAAGCCCGCTAAGTCCGCAGAGTGTGCTTTCCTTCAATAAATTACAGTGCAACTGTTCACGAGCTCTGTTTACGCAAAAGCAGCAGCACTGCGACCACGACTAGAGCGGCAGCTGCTGTCGCTGCAACAGCAGTACTCGTAACAGCAGGGTCACTGCTGTTGCCGCTGGAGCCCTGTGGGGATTGGTAATTTGCTGGTTGCGGAAGGTCGCATCAAAATGATGACCAAACAGATGTTCTGCTGATCAGTGCAGGGTAGGCATCGATCCTGCTGCAGCAGTCCCCGCTGCTACGCCTGCTGTTTCTTTGACAGCTATGGCTCCAACTGCTGCTTTCGCATCTACATTGATAAAGTGCCTCTACATTGTGTTTATATCCACAAGACATTCGCTCTTCCGCTGGTTTCCCGTGTTGTTTCAGCTTGCCCTAGTGTGAACTTGTGGTGATTCTGTGTGGGGAGCCAAAGACAGAATCCCAGGTTCTGGCTGTGTGGTGAACCAAATCTTCGCAGGGCTGGCCTCAGAGCCCTGTAAAGCTGTGCTGCACGGAAGCCCTTCGGTTGTGCGCGCATGCTACCCTGTGCCAAAGACAAGGAGTCGGCGCTCGCCAGATAGGCGCTCTTTGGCGCCTCTAGGCGGCGATTCTCGCACTAATGGACTTTGAGTTCCCAACAATCACAGGGGCTCTTTTACGAGTTACTGTTGCAGAAGTACGGAGGTGTGCGGCTGTCTGGCAGCATCGGCAGAGGCACCAACAAAGGCACAAGGAGCAACAGCAGCGGGCCGGGCAGCAGCATATAGAGCAGCCGCGGATAGAGCAGCAGGAGAAAGACAAGCAAGAGCTGTGCAACAGGCTGGAAGCGAAAGCACAGAAGAAGCATACCGTACGTTGTCCTCTCTCTCCTGGAGTGCCCACTAAGGGGGGTCTTGCGCCTCTTGAGGCCCCCAAGCCTACTGGGACCCGCGCCCGTTTCGGCGAGGAGCTGCATGTGTGGGGCCCATGGCGTTGCCGAGGCATATGCATAGAGGGCCTTGTTGTCTCTTGCACCCGAGTCAGGCTGAGAGGGCCTGCTCCGGACTATACCGCAGCAACAGCAGCAGCTCGAGATGCGTCAGCAGCACATATGGACACGATAGAGCTTGATGATGGAACAGGCGTAATTAGCTGTTGCTGGGTCTGGTACCCTCCAGGAGAACCTCGAAGTTCCCCTCGGGGACGAGGCTTGGGGGCTACTGCTGAGAGGACTGTGGCCTTTGAGCCCCCGCCGCCGTTAGAGCCTGGCACGTTCTGCAGGGCAGAGGGGCGAGTGATGCTGCGCGGCAGCAGTTCCTGCAGCAGCGACGGCAGCAGCACTTGCTGCTGCGCCTGCAGCGTTCGAGCATCTCTAAGGCTCTTTGGCCCACTTAAAGAAGATTGCGACCCAAATGCTGAGGCCCTCGCCTTTGCTGCCCTTGCTACGCAGAAGAGAGCCCTGAAGTGGTGGCGGGATCCGCAGCAGGCGCATCAACAGCAGAAATAGGTGCCCAGATGCCAGCCCCTGCTGCTCCAACAGCAACAGCGGCCGTTCCGTTGCGACGACAGAGACTAACAAAAAGGCATTAGATGCCTCAGCGTATACTCGGGGACCCATTCCCGAATTGCTACAGGGTGTTAGAGGCAGCGAGTGCAGCTGCTGCTGCTGCTGAAACGCGTGTCTGTTAAGCCAGTGCGTGGAGGGAAACCACCCCGCTTCTTTTGTGGGCGCTGCAGAAAGACGCTCTTTTCCTGAGGGCCCAAAGAAATGTAAGAAGGGCCTTCAGTGGACACAGAAAGGAGGGCTGGTGGCAAAAGAGGAGTGCGCATACCCCAAAGGCCACGTGCTTTCGCAGTCATTGTCTTTCGATATTTAATAGGCCAAAGGCCCTTGTCAGTTGAAAATTTTGAGTTGGAAGGCCCATAACATTTCCAAAATTGTCAGCAGCGGCGGCAGCAACAGCAGCACGTAGATTGTTGCTGCCGTGGCTGCTGCCGCTGTCTTGCAGCGTTTGCTGCAGCAAATCAGTGTCACGGCGGAAGGCCCTAAGCATCATCTTTAGCTGTATTTGAGGGCCGAGCAGGGGCAAAGTAGTCACTAATAATATGCAGAGGCGGCGGTGGGCGCCCACACAGCTGCCGGTGTCTTTGGGGGCTCCCTTTGGGGCCCTTTTCACAAGGCAAGACGAACACAACTCTCCAATGACGGTCATGGGAAGCGCCTGCAGCGCACAAAGCAGCGCAGTAGAGCATCAGCAGCGATGGAGGCTTTCATATGTGGCAGCAGGAATCGCAGCATACATTTCTGGTCCTGAAGAAATGGAGGTGAGTGGATGCCGTGTGCGTTTGACTTAGTCGCTGTAGAGGGCACTGGCACTTGTCGTTGCAACGCAAGTAACAAGTGCAGCGAACTTGTTCAACTTCGCTGCTTGGCTTCACATGAAAGGCAAACTTATGGTAGAAGTTTATGAGGACACAATGGCACTTCGGTTTTCCTTGTTACACATGCGAGAGGGCCTGCTGCTGCTGCCGCAGTGGAAGACGCAGTAGCGTTACCTGGCTCGATGCAAAGCCTGCAGTCTTTGTTATCGAAGAACACCCTCTCCAGTGTTTCTATCATTTTATTTGTCACGTGGAAGCGCTGCATGCGCTGCAGCAGCCACGCCTCGCCGGGGGTCAGTTCGCTGCTGCCGTCTGGCGTTGGGATGTTTTGTTTATGCTGTTGCTTCTCCTGCATTTCAATTTCTTGGGAGCAACTGCGGCGAGGTAAAGACACCTGGCGGTACCACGGCAGCTGTTTCCGCTGCTGCCGCAGCCTATCTTCACGCGCCTGCTGGGGAGCGTGTTGCTGTGTCTTCTGCTGATGCGACCGCGGTGCACCGCCAGAAGACGCAGCGCGTGTTTTCTGCTGCTGGTTCTTTGCTTTGCTAGCGGCGAAGGGAGCTGCAGCAGCAGCGGCCATGATAAACGGCAAGGCCTCCTCGGGCCCCATAGAAAGCAGGGGCTCTACAAAGTGAACACACGAACACACTTTGCATGCGTCCGTTGTAGCAGTGGCAACAGTTGGAGCAACAACAGGGCCAGCATTGAATATGCTGAGAGCTGCAGTTTGGTGAAGTAGGCGCCTGATTCAAGGGCTGCATTGGAGACCGCAAAAGCAGACGCAGCAGCAGCAGAGCAGTACCCTGAATGGCGTCGAGGAGGGCAAGAGCCGCTTGCAGGAGACGTTTCATGCCTCCCAAGGCTAGCAGGTCGAGAACCCGGAGAGACAAAGAGATTGGGAAGTCTGCTGCGAAGACAGGCAGCAACCACTGCAGCAAGTATGCCTCTCCGCGGATACCCACGGATGCCTGACATAAATACAGCGAGAAACAGAGACAACAGTGCATGGGCAAATGACCCAAGCAGGGTTCGCGAAAGCGACAGGGGCACATAGAGGGCAAAGATAGGCCGAGAGCACATAAGAACCCCGCAGAACCCCGCAGGGGCTAACGACACAGGGTAAGCCGACAGCCGCACAGTGACACAGGAAAGGAGAGCACGGAATTGGACAAGATGCGATGCAGAAGGACAAGGAATGGGAACTAATATACGGTCAGAAAGGAAGGCAGTGACATCCAAATGCACAGGGAACGCTGATGAGGACAAGCAGGGATGAAACTGAGGGGGACACATACGAAGTGTTCCCGCAGCTGAGGTAGAAAGGCCTCCATGATACGCTCGAAGGCAAATGTAAGACTCTGAAAGGAGCAACACAACCACACCATTGGGAAAAGGGGTGTCTACAGGCCCCCTGACAAAACCATCAAACAAGCGCAGAATACTGCCATGTGGCTGCATGCAACACACGTAGCATGGAACACACGCGCACGCCCGACTTCTCACGAACATTGCAGCACAAACGGATACAGTCAGAAGCTGCAGCAAATCGAGCAGCGGTGGCTGTGGCAGCAGCAGCCTCCCCACCTTGATGGCCGTGAGGTCTGTAGCATAGAGGCGCTGCAGACCCCATTTCTGCAGAAGGGAGACGAAACATCGGTAAGCCTCCTGCAACATCCACACAAACCCAAGTTCCTATGCTGTATGTCTCATTCTTGGCCTACCAAGGTAATCGGCGATGGTAAAGAAGCACCAGAAAGGGAGATAACAAGGCAGACGTGACAAGAAAAAGCAAAGTGCAGCGACCAACATGAGGCACACATAAGCAATGGCAGCTAGCAACAAGGCTCCCAGCCAAATAGAACGAGGCAAAAAACAGTGCAGCAGCCCCCGTAGCAGCAGCAGCAGCAGCAAAGTGACAGGGGGGCCTCACAAACTCATCCTGCAGTGCGTACAAAAAGAGGCCGCCCAAATAGTTCATACCCTGGCAGTACCCGACGCCGTCGTGGCGAGACGCACAGGCGAGCAAGACTCGGTGCAGGGACTGCTGCCTGGGTCAGGAGCACAAAAACAGCAGCACAGAAGCACTAAAAACTAAGGGGAGCAGCAACAAAAGTTAACGGAAGGGAGCAGCAGGCAGCGCATGGTGATGTCAAGGGCGCTCCATAGGTCAGCGCTTCTACATCCCTGACATGGTAGCAGCACCAGCACCATCCCGAGCAACCAGTTAAGACAGAACTGCCAGCTCTGGCCGTTACGGCCGCAGCCGCAGCAGCAACAGCAGCAGTGGTTTACATTGCCTTATCCTTGAAGAAAGGAAGCTCAGGGAATGTTCTGTGGCAGTCCCTCGCAATCTCTTCGGAAAGTGCAGCAGGTGCCGCCACACAAGCTGCCTGCAGCACAGCCACCGCAGCAGCAGCAGCAAAACGGCGTTGACCGGAATACGCGCAACAGCAAGTGCTCACTTAGCTAGCAGTGACAGCAACCAAGATGGCGAACAAGCCCCTCGCTTCTTAGTGACTAAGCTGCTGCTCCTTCACGAACAAAGACAGTGCAGCAGCCCCCGTAGCAGCAGCAGCAAAGTGACAGAGCGGCCTCACAAACTCATCCTGGCCACAGAAGCAGCAACGACAAGAGCTGCATCAATAATTCCAGCAAGAACAACTGCCGCAGCAGCAGGATGAAAAGCAGCAGCAGCTAACCTGGTAGTCTGCATAGGTCTCGTGCTGCATCTCCTCCAGAAGCGAACACCTGTAAAAGTAACCCCTGAAGGCTACAGGAAAACCGCGCAGCCCAAAGCCAGCAGAAAGGAGGTGAGGAGACAGAAGAGCTTTTCGCCTGCAGCGAAGAGCTCAAACATAGCGCCCACAATAAGTTGACTGACTCTCTTGCTGCTGCCGCTATTGATGCTGCTGCCGCTGCACCAACCACAGAGGACCCAAGACCAGGAAAGCAAAGAGAAATGACGTGCATGTACAGAGGCAAAGATTGAAGCGACTATGCACCTGCTGCTGCTTCTGTAACAAAGGCAAATGGAGCAGTGCCATTAGTACAGCATACCATGTCTTACAGACGCAGCTACACGCTGCTCTGTCTCCGTCTGTGAGGAGCCGTACGAGTCTCTTTGTTGCCTTTGGAGACACTAAGGCCCACAGCCGCAAAGCCCTGTTGAGGCAGTAGTCTGAGGGGTGCAAAGCCCCGATAAAGCTTGCGGTGGTTCCGCTTGGTAGGCAACCACCTGCAGCCGTGACTGCAGCATCATCTGACAACCCGCGAGCGCTTGCAGTCATCGAAGAGACTCTGCTGCCCACAGCTGGTGATTAATTGCTGATGCTGCCACCGTTACTTGTGCTGCTGCCCTTGCCGTTTCAGCAGTTGCTCCGCCCTCGGCTCCGCTATGCAGCGCCGGCTGCTGCTATTTGTGCTCAACAGGAGACTTCCCTGTGCGTCAGGCACTCAGAGAAGTCTTCTTCTTGTGGTGGGGTTCCGCTGTTGTCGCTGCAGCACAGCAGCTGCAACAGCAGCTGCAGCTGCTGCTAACCCGTCCGCAGGAAGTACACTTCGCATACTGCTGCCGCCTCCCAGCCTCGTAAGTGGGCTTCACAAGCAGTGCCGCAGTACTTGATGCTACTTTTGAGGGTGTTACTGCTGCAGATGCTGCGGCTGCTGCAGGGGCCCCTGCAGCTGCCGTCGAGTGTGGTACGAGTGGTTATGTCTGAGCAGCTCAGAGTAGCAGCATGTGCACGAAAAGTCCTACTCAACATATTTACATCAGTTAGGGTGCAAACAGAGCAAAGAATATGTGGAAGTCGGCGGGAACTGTGCAGGCTGCGAGCAGTCGGTGCAGGATCATCAGCGGCGGCAGCGGCAGCGGCTGCAATAGCCAGAAAAATCAGATCCAGAGATATTATGTCTGCAGTTGTGGGTTGTGCGCATGGCTCCTCCCCAAACACCTCTTTTCCCGCCAAAACGGGAGGAATCTTCGGAACTCTCCCCTGGGAGCTCTGGAGTTCCCGTGTCTTAAGCATGGGCAACAGCAGCACCAGCGACGCGAACGCCAGCAGCACCACTGAATGTCACCAGCAATGAGGCCTCTTCTGAGGACTTTTGGAAGTGGATCGTCATTGG